TCGCTAGAAAAACATAAGCATGCATGGCATTGCTGGTGTTGTGATAGCAAGAAGTGATAACAAAATGGCACAATGAGAGCGATAGTCCCGCTATAAGAACCTCTGCCATGTGCATATTCTATTACATGGCAAAGTTGGTGGTAGCAGCGGAATCCGGTCACCAAGATAAAGCTGCACCACATGGAACAGTATAAGCGTGGGAGTCGCAGCTGAGCAAGATCGCCTTCAGCATACAGGGTACACAGGGTACAGCATCGTTATGTGTAAAATGGTGGTGTCAGTACGACCCCCCAAAAAAGAAGGCCTCGGTAGGACCCCCTTCCCCAACACCTACCTACAAGTTTTCTACATGTTCCTCACTTCCGACCAGTTTTCTCGAAATTTCCCGGAAATTTGCAACTAGAAAATTAGAAAGAATTCTTGAAAAGTGGGAAAATGGTGGGGAATTGGGGAAATTTGGGAAGATGGTGAGTAGGATAGGCGGGGAGGGGTCGTACTGAGACCGCCATTTTCACACGTCGCGGTTCTGTAACTCAGGGCGCAGCATCGTTGTGTGAAACACATGAGGGGGGGGGGGTCGTATGTGACTTTGAGAGGAATTTGCCGCGTTGGGAAAAAATTTTTCTCGGTTGCCGCCAACGTTCTATATAACTACTATTTATAGTTGAAAAGAGTAGTTGGTTGTTCCTTTGCTCGACGGGAAATTTTGGAAAAAGTTGCAAATTTTCGGGAAATTTTTCCCAAAATTTCCCGTCGAGCAAGGGAACAACTAACTACTCTTTTCAACTATAAATAGTAGTTATATAGAACGTTGGTGGCAACCGAGAAAAATTTTTCCCCAACGCGGCAAATTCCTCTCAAAGTCACATACGACCTCCTCCCCTCTCCGCAGCGGCAAGTACGACCCCCCCCCTCCCATGTGTTTCACAACTGCCACAAAGTCGTCTCCACAGAGAATTTTTCCAAAAACCCATCACCCTCCACTACAGCGGAAGGGATTGAAGCGGAGGAGGAAAGACTTCCAATCAACTATCAAGAATGGTGAAATTCAAGATGGAACGGTGGAAACGATCAAATTTCACCAAGCGAAATACCGCGACCCCCCTGGTGATACTCCCCCAGCAATAACGTGTTCTGATTGACTCCGAGAATATATTTAGAGGAAACTAGTTTGGTAAAAGGTTAGTTAACATGATGGAAGAAAACTAGTCCGTCAATAAAAGTTTCGGGTGGAGTTAGGCTATGGAGAAAGGGTACAGCATCGGAATGGGTGGAATAGCGGTGTCAGTACAACCCTCCGGAAATTTCTTATATCTGAACGACCCCCTCTCAAACGCCACCTAACACCTTACCAAGTTGTCAGATCCAAATTAATCCCCAGAGAGTTTTTCCGCCAACAATGTGGGGCTAAGCGAGGAGGTGTCGAGCGCAAGCAGAATTTTCGTTGCGGCTTGAGAAAAGTTCCCATCCTGGTTAAATACGAACCATCTTCCCAGCGACGAACCCGCCTCCGTCTCCCCCCCCCCCCCCGCCCTGGAATTCTCCAACAATGCTCTACTAGTATGAGAAGATATACTCAAAGAGTTTCTCGCAAACCTAGGGAGGGAAGCAGCTCCGGGACAGATGAACCAAGTGTTTCTTTGGGTAGAAGGGTGTTGCCCTCAAGGTGATACTGTTCCACAAAAAAGCCTCTCCCACTTCTCGACGTCAATTTTTTGTCAGAGCAGCATCGACTTCTGAGGACATTCAGCCGTAAGGCATGAATAATGTTCTGCAAGCCCACTACGTGATTTCCAGCACAGATCATGAGAGGGGTGATTATTGGTGGAGGCCGAGCGATCCCCCCTCCCCTTTCTTTTTGAAGGGATGAGTGCGCCCCTCCAATAGTTCGCTCCCTATAAATGCTGCTCGAGCAGATGGTGGATTTTTCAGATTTTTCCTAAAGCTTTTACCCAAAATTTTTGCTGACACGAAACCACGAAAAGAGGCAACATTCTTCAGAAGATCCAGAAGGCGAAATACAGCAGCAAGGAACAAACACGACCCCCCCCCCCCTTTACAACGTCCGTGAAACAAGAAAAATCAACTATCAAAATAAATTTTTCTCAGCCCAAATACGACCCTTCCCCTCTCCCAGCGACCAAATACGACCCCCCCCCCTATTGGGGATTCCCCAACTACGATGTGCCCTGGACATTACCACTTAGTAAGTCACACTCAAAAAGACCTCGGCGCTTCAAATTATAAAGAGGAAGCCAGATGTATAGCAGAACGTGCATCTGATACAACGAGCACCAACAAAAAGCGCTGCGTAAAAGGGAAACAAAGAAAAGCACTGGAAGAACTTGTCCGATAGGAATGAGTAATGCCTTCTGCGGCACGGCAAAGCATCGTTAGGAAAATTCCATCAGGGGGAGGTCGTACATATTTGGTAACTGGGGAGGGGTAACCGCTCCCCATTTACCAAATATGTAACCGCTAACCATAGTAACCGCTAGAAAACGAAAAAAAACTATTGAGCAGCGGAAACTAATCCCACTTGTTGGCTTCTGGTGCTTCCTTTTCATGCTCACACCATGTCTCCCGATGAGGGAAATTTCTAGGAGGTCCTAGTGCGATGAGGCAAGTTCAAAGCAGGGCAAATCACTGGATGGGAATTTTGGTCGAGTCCGTGCGACTTCCCTCCCTCTTTTTAGGGGTTGGTACGACCCCCTGGTTCACTCTCATCGAGTTGTCGAGCGGGAAGGGTGCGGGGGTGGTGGGGGGGGGGGGGTATAGTAGTAATAGTACATATGAAACAGGAAAAAGTCATGAAAAGTGTGAAAGTCAGCAACCATTGCAGGTCAGGGAAGAAATACGACCCCTTCCTAGCAACGAACAAACACGATTCCCCCCCCCCCCGTACAACGTGCCGTGAAAGAAATCTTCCCCAGCCCAGCTACGACCCCCTCTCCCAGCGACCAAATACGACCTCCCTTGTTGGGGATCCCCAAAAAAGATGCGCCCTGGTTCAAGGTTGAGGGAGGGAATCCTACTGAGACCACCGTTCCACACATCACGATGTCGTACTCTGAATCAACGAACATTTTGTGGAATATGCATGAAAGGGAGTAAGGAGTAGGGACCAAATTGTTTGGATTCTCGCAGCATGACGTCACACTCCCTTAATGGGAATTTATGAGGGAATGCCCTTCTATTAGC